TGCCATAGCCTCTGCCCAGACACTGGCCAGCTTTCCAAAAACAGATGGGATCTGAAAAACCAGGACAAAGACCAGCCTTCCTATCAGGGTTCCCTTTACAGAAGTGATACCACTATCTCCCCCCATCTCTCTTTCCTTTGAATCCTTGCCCCACCCAGATCCATGGACTGGTTCTGTCAGCTGTACCTTCAGAATATATTTCCACTCCCAACACTTCTCCCCATCCTGCCACCCACAGCTACTCCCCTGGCCTGGCCACCACCAATGTGCCCCTGTGGTGGCCCTTGACTAGTCTTGTCTTGCTCTTGTCTCCTTCAGTTCATTCTCCATACAATGGCCAAGGTGATCTTTGAAAAATATAAATTTGACCGTCACATAATAGAATATGAAACTTCTAACCCTGGCCTATAAGGCCAGATGTTCCCTCTCCCGTATCTCAAACCCCATCTCCTTTGTTCCTCTGCTCTAGCCATCTAGGCCTCCTAGCTATTCCTGAAGCTCAAGCCATACTCCTGTCGCAGGGCCTTTGCACATGCTGTCCCCTCTGTCTGGAACCCTTGTGCTCATACCTGCTCACATATGGGTGGCTCCTTCTCACTGATGCAGCTCAGCTCAAATTTCTCATCCTCAGAGAGATCTAATGCCTCTCCTAAGAAAAGGCTTTGTTTTCTCAATAGCACTTATTACTAAATGTATTATAACATTTCTTGTTTATTTATTGTCTGTCTCTTCCACTAGAATGTGAGCTCCAGGAGGGCAGGGTTTTTGTCTTGTTTCCCATGGTGCCTCCCTTGCCTAATACAGGGCATGATATGCAGTAGGCACTCAATAAATGTGGTGGAATGAAGAAACAATTGAATCCCTTTCAGCCTCATCTCCCACCATTTCTTCCCTCCTCCCCCCATCCCACAGCACTGTATGCTCCAGTCCCACCTGCCTCTTCCCTTGCATTGAGCATGCCCTTCCTGAGCTCCCCTCCCCCACAGCCCCTCCAGCCTGGCCCCCCCATCTCCCCTCCTTGCTTCCTTCTCCTCCTGGGCAGCCTCCCTCTTCTGCTGGCCGGTTGCGTGATCTCCTTGCTGGTCTGTCTGCCAGGCTAGGCTGTGAGGTCCAGTGCCTGGTACACAGGAGGAGCACAATAAATGCTAAAGTGCCTCTGTGGACACGAAAATAGGAGGCCCAGAGATCTGGAGATTGCAGCAGGCCCTCCTATGGACCTCACCATTTCAGCCCCTGCATCTGGGGTTTTCACTTCTATGGAGTTTCCTGACTGCTGAGTTTTTTGGTTCCTTCACTCCATCTGTTCTCCTTCCTTGTGAGAGCCAGGAGATGAGAGGGGCCCGACGTCACTCAGCCAGGGGCTCCCACTGGATGGGCCAGAGATACCTGGTACTGGTATAGGTGTCCTTTCCATTTTGCTGCTGTGGAAGCTGAGGCTCACCTGGGACAGGTGACTTTCTCAAAGCCACACAGAAACTGATAGACTGAGACTCTAGGCCAAATCACAAGGTTTTGCTCAGAGTATGCAGCATCTCAGATCTGAAGGGCTCTGGGGGCCACCTGGCCCATGGGTTCTCCTGGAAGCTAAAGTCCTGGAAGACAGGCATGGTGTGTGACCCAGCATTGTGTCCTGCCATCAGGAAGAATGCCTCTGTGAGCATCTCTCAAGTTGACTAAATTCCATCCAAATGCAAGAATCCCCTTTCTTGAGGATCTTTGCTTTGGGACAAGGTATCTGACCGTCCTTTAGCTTGCTCTAATTCAAGGAGTCCTGCTTAAACCTCATCTTACCCCAGAGTGATGTGGAGAGGCAGGAAAGGGATCTTGAAACAGAAAATGTTCCCTCCAGGGCTGGAAGGGACCTTGGAGCTGACCCTGGCCAGGGTTTTTTGTAGGGAGGAGGAAGAGACTTGCCCAAGGTCACCCAGCAAAGTCATGGCCCCTCACTCTGCTCTTGGCCCCAGTGCTGCTGGAAACCAGCCCTGGCCCCTTCAGGCCCCTTCCTCTCTCGAGATCTTAATCAGGAATTTTCCACAGCTGCCTAGGGGCAGGGAGTAGGAATGGTGTAAGGGGATGCTGGACAGAGGTGATTTTCTCCAATTAAGTGGCAGTTTAAGAGCGAGAGGGTGATAAGATCTGCCCTGAGTAATGCAGCAGGCAGCAGGGAGAGGCCCCCACACATCCTCTCCCCCCACAAATCCAGGCCGGGACCTTCAGGGAAGGTGGAAAAGGTGACCATGACTAGGAACCTTGGCCTGGGGTCCTCAGCTTCAAGCATTCAGCCCCCCTGGCAGCTGGCATGGGGACTGGGGACACATTCCAGCAGACGGCTCTCTGAGGAGGGGCTGGAAATCCAGGGAAGAGGGTAGGTAGGCCTGTGGTCATCAAGAGGAGCCCTGAGAAGATTGAGAAGATTCTTTTTAAAAAATTAACATGTATGGTAAATATATAAACTTTGCAAGAAGTGCACAGTGATTACAATCTTTTGGGTTTTTCACTGGGGTCCTCTTATTCTCAGCTCACCTCTTGACCCACGCTAGAGGCAGAATTCTAAGCTGAGAGAACCCCGTGGAGCTGCCCCTGGTGTTGGTCCCTGCTTGGGGTAATTCTGTCAGCCAAAGTATTCTACGGCAGCCACTCTTTGATTCTGGGTTCCCTTCGTGATACAGTCAACATGTGTTTATTGAGCACCTACTCTGTGCTGTTCTAGTTGCTTGGAATTATCATTGAACAAAATAGGGCCAGATCCCTGCCCTTGTGGGCTTACGTTCTGGCAAGTTGGATGAAATTTAAACTCCCCTCCCCAGAAAAATGCCCAGAGGTAGGAAAATTTGTCCATGATTTTGTGGGACTCCTAGACCCTCATCTTGGAGGGTGACTCCCTAACACAGTTTGCTACTCGGACACAGTCTGAGCATTCTCACTTGCCCCCTTCTGCCTGCCCTACAGGTGAGCACACCTGTCCTGGGCCCCTCTAGACAGAGAAGGAGGGGGCCGGTGATGGGGGTGTGCAACGTGAGCCTCTTGCATAACCTAACTGGGTAAGTGCCTCTCTGTAAGTTCTCAATCAACTGGGGCTGACTTCCTGTTGTAGGTCATGGAGCTCTGAGGACTCAGAGCACCTAAGAGCTGGTCCTCTGAGAGTCCAAGTCTGAGAGGCAGGGTTAGGGAGGGAGAGAAAATGTATCCCTCCAGGTCACTCCCGAGGATGACGGGAGCCTGAGCATAAGCCAAGCTCAGATACCCAGAGCTGGAGGTGGCCTTTTGGCCTCCATTTATCCCCTGTTTTCAGGAGGAGCAACTCATCTTCTAAGGTCCGGGGTCCCCTCCAGGAAGCCTTCCCTGGCTGTCCCCACCCTGACTCTCCTCCAGCAGCCTCTCTCCCATTGCTGCCCTCACCGCACAGCTGGTCTGGTCTGTTTCCATGTCCATCTCCCCCACTAACTCAGCAGCATTGTGAGTGTAGGCAAAGTGCCCACGGTCTGTGTCCCTGGCTCCTACCACTACCTACAGCATGGTGGGTGGTCAGTAAAAGTTTGTGGGGTGAGTGGCTGAAAGATGGAAAACTCAGCAGAGGTGACGGAGATCAGTGATTTTTCTCGTGAGCTGCTAGGCCACTCCACCCCTGTGAAACAGACTCTTAGGCAGAGGTGAATGTGTGGGGCATTCATCTGGGAGCCTATTGGGGTTGGTACCTATGGGCAGAAGGGAAGGAAGCAGGACTGGGCAGAGGGAGAAGTGGGTTGCTGTATAGCCTGAAAGCCTCAGCTGACCTGGGGGAGCTCTGGAGCTGGGGTGGCCCTTTAGAGCTGGAGCAGGGCACCCCACATCCATCAGTCATTGGATGCTGCCTCTTGGGGGAGACATGACCTTACCTTGGGTGAGGCCATGGCCATGGGGGCTGACACTGAGAGCTGTCACAGCAGTGGGGGATCATGTCCTTCATATCTGGCAGCACATCAGTGTCTACTCACTCACTAACTCATCTCTCAAAACCCTGACCCATCTCTTTACTCCCCCACAACTCAAACTTCAACCACTGCCCCCCTGCAGTGGCTTAGGTGCCACTGGTGACCACAGTGCTGTTCTCACTGCCACTGTGCATTCAAGGGGTGGCCTCAGGGTGCTGACAAAACTGGACCTGACATGGCCCAGCACCGGGCCCATGGGAGCTGGGGAATCACTGTCTGGGATGGCTCTGGGGAGGGGGAAGGCCTTGGCTTCCTGGGCTCTATGACCCGATGGCCCTGCAGGCAGAGTCCAGGGAAGCGTGGCTCATGTGTGGGGTGGTGCCTAATTGCCCTAGAGGACACTGGCCAGCCACAAGCCCCTGGAGCTCGTCAGTCCATTGGTGGCTGCGGATCACACCTCAGTCAGCTGAGCTCTGGTTTGGGACTACTTGTAGATAATGGCTTATATATACTAAGATGTCTCTGGAGAGACACACAAGACATTGGGAGACAGAGGTTGCAACAGGAGGGACTAATTTTTTATACGTATGTACATCTTTTTAAATGTCATAACCATTCATCTACTCAAAATACGAAATAAATAAAAAATAAAGACTATATACTAAAATGGGAGGTTTTTGAACCTGCATGGGCTGAGACTCATAGTAGGTCCTCAGGCCACCAGGCCATCTCTTGGGTCCCTCACAGGGTCCTTGAAGGTCCTCTCTGATGTCTTCCTTCCTGAGTCCTGGCTGGGGATCTCCATTGCCCCCAGACTCACAACAGCCACTCCAGAACTCAGGGCATGTTTGGCTCTGGGCCAGCCCAGTCCTCCAGGTCTGAAGTGGGGCCTCTATCTCAACGATCAGATGGTGGGCAGGACAGCAGTGGACACGTGCTCCACCTCCCACCCTCTCCGGGGACTCTACTTGCCAGCTGTGGGCAGTTTGGGCCAAACTCCCTGCCTCCTCCCTACTGCAGGCTCAGCCTATAAAACCACCCTGTGTGTCCTTGCTGACCCTGGTCCCCTCCCTGACACCCAGAGCCACAATGGCAGAGCTGCCTGCGTCAGAGATCCCTGGGGACCCTGCTCTGTGCAGTGGGCGCTTCACCATCAGCACGCTGCTTGGGGGTGATGAGCCCCCGCCACCAGCTGCCTATGACAGCAGCCATCCCAGCCACCTCACCCATGGCAGCACCTTCTACATGCGTACCTTTGGCTACAACACTATTGATGTGGTGCCTGCCTACGAGCACTATGCCAACAGTGCCCTGCCCGGTGAGCCCCGAAAGGCCCGCCCCACGCTGGCTGACCTACACTCCTTCCTCAAGGTAAGTGCTGTCTCAGAAGACTGGCCACTTCTCTGCTGTGTGATCTTGACCCAATTACCTAACCTCTCTGGCCCTCAGCTCCATTTGTCATCTGTGCCATGGGGACGGACCATTGTCTTCCTCATGGGTTGGTTGAGAAGCCCAAATGAATGGTGGAAGTGGGAGCTGTAGAGCTCTAGGCACATGTTATAATGTTTCTTGTCAATTACTGGCAACCTAAAAGTAGCGAGGGATGCTTAGAGAGGTAATGAGCTTCCAGGCAGTGGAAGCATGCAAACAGAGGTTGCACACACCTGAAAGAGACAGGGAAAAGAGGGGCAGGGGAGGTTCATCTCAGAGAGTGGGTTCTCTGGGTTTGTTGCCTGGGAGGTTGGTCTGTGAAGGGTGATGGGCTGGGAGCTGGATTGTCATGACCCCTGTCTAGTCTCACTTTTCCCATCTGAAATGGGGCAGAACCATTCTTGGTTCTGGGTCTGAGACTGCTAAATTCACAGGACTCCTTCCCTCCCCAGAGCAAACCTTCACCCTGGTCTGCGGGGGCCAGACACGACCCTTTGCTCTATACAGGGCTGCTGAGATAAGGTGCCAGGGGGAAAGTCCCAGAGGAGGGCTTCAGTAACTTGGGGCACAAACTAGGAGACCTACCGACACCCCAGAGGCTGAGGCCTGGGTTCAAGTCCCAGCCCTGGAATGGACCTATTGTGAGGCTTTAGACAAAGTGCTTCACCTCTCTGGGGTGACAATAACCCTGTCCCACCCCTTCTCAGGCTGTGTAACTGCCTGGTCTGTTCCAGGGCCATTGCTTTCCCAGAGGGAAAAGGTGTTGTGAACAGGAGGGCCCAGAACTCCTAGCCTCCAATGGTATCTGTTCCCTGCTGCCACTATGGAGCTTTTTAAAAGCCCACCAAGCAGCTCAATACCCAGGAGACTGAGGAGTTGGAGCATGGTGGTGCAGGCCAGTGGGCTGGGTGTAGAGATCCAGTCTCCAGCACTCCCGCCTGCCTGACTCATGGTCTCTGGGTTCCCAGCAGGAAGGCAGACACCTGCACGCCCTGGCCTTTGACAGCCGGCCCAGCCATGAGATGACTGGTGGGCTGGTGGAGGATGAGGCAGGCACCAACAGCGAGAAGAGCCCTGGGGAGCCCGTGCGCTTCGGCTGGGTCAAGGGGGTGATGGTGAGTGGGGTGTGGATGGTGCTTGATGTCCAGCAACGGGGCTGGGAGGACAGGGCTCAATCCAGGCTCAGCTTTGACTTTCAGGCCCTAGTGGCTAGGGCAGACCAGAGCCCAGTCTGGGCCTCAGTTTCCCCATCTGCACAATGACCTCAAATTTTCTCTGGTTTGTGCTTCCACATCCCCATTTATCCCTAGCCCTTTGGCAGATCTCTGCCTGGCCACTTACTAGTCATGTGACCTTGGGTAACTTCTCTGTGCCTCAGTTTCCTCATCTGTGAAATGACGAGCATTACATGAGTTAATAAAGTCATTGGATCAACTCCTGCCAGGGAGTTATTAGAAGAAGCTGTATTTCCCCCAAAAGCCACCAGGGGGCAGCAATAAACACACAAATTCACAAATTTTTTTTCATCCTCCTTCATGAAGAGAAGGGAATGGTTTTATGTAGTGTGCAGCACGAATAAGACCCCACACAGTAAAGAATGAAGTGAGCCTGGCTAATTGCTACAGCAGAGAAGGCGGATTAGGAAATTGGAAGAATGGGACTTTACAGAGGGGACCGCATGGGATGGAGGAGAAAGCTTTAGTCCTGCTCCGCATGGGAGGCCGGAGGCCTGGGTTCTGACCTTCACTCTGCCACCTGCCAACTGGCTGTGCCTCGGTTTCTCCATCTGAACCGTGAGCCCTCTCCCAACCCCAGAGGCTCATATTCAGAGTCTGGATCTCCCTCCCACACTGTGTTGGCCAAAGACTAGAGTGACCCATTTAGTGTCTCGGGGCAGATGGAGGGCCTTGGAAATCTCCCCCGGATGTGAATGCAACACACCCACCCCAGGACTTGGTGGGGCCAAAGACCAAGCAGCCCCTCCCGCCTGGGAACTTCAGCCTCAATCTCGGCCTCTGGCTTTGCTCTAAATTTGGAAGCTAAAGTCACAGCAAGCTGAGCTCTGATTTCTACTTGTATGTGGGGCATTGGCTCAGCTGGCATTTGCTGAGCTCCCCTAAATGCCAGGCCCTGGGCCAACAGCTGACCACTGGGGCCATGGCTGGGGCTGGCAGACACAGAGTCCTGGGCTTGGAATAGGGTGAGGGGAGATAATGCTTGCAGCCCATACTCAGGCCTCGATGGAAGGGCAGGAGAATTGGTGGAAGGGACAGGTGAGTCTCCAGGTGCTTCTCACCCTCCATCCCCACAGAACCTATTGAAGCGGGTAAAGCAAAGAAAGGACCCAAGTGTCCCCTTGTCAAGGTGCCCAATGTCATGCCATAGCCAGGGACAGGGACTTGTTTGTTTGGCCTTGGGGTAACTGGCATACCCAGGTGGTCTCTGACCCCACTGTCTTCCCAGATTCGTTGCATGCTCAACATCTGGGGCGTGATCCTCTACCTGCGGCTCCCCTGGATTACAGCCCAGGCAGGAATTGGTGAGTGCTGCCTGTGGGGGAAGGAGGGAGGGTGTGCTTGAGTCTTGGTCCTCCAAGACCCCACAGGAGCAGGCTTGAACTTGGGTGCAGCCTCGGGCCCCCACAATGACAGAGGTCTGGGTGGTGTGGCAGAGACCCACTGGACCTGGAGTCAGCAGACCTAAGGGTTCTCCCCTGACTGTTTGTCCTCAGGAAGCCACTTAATCTCTTTGAGCTAATTTCTTTTATTTATTTTTTTTGTAAGAAAATGAAATTTATTGCTTACAGTATCAGAGGCTGGGAAGTCCAAAGTCTAGGGGACACATCTGGTGAGTGTCTTTTTTGGTGGTGACGCAGGGTATCACATTTTGAGAAAGGCAGGCGCAGAGAGCTCTTTGAGCTAATTACTAATGCAGAGCATGTGTATTAGGCAGTTGCACCCTGGACGAAGTTTTCAGATGATACTAGCTCTGTGCCGTACTGTGTGGCTTTAGGCAAGTTTCTTAACCTCTCTGAGTCTTGGATTCCTCATCAGTAAAATGGGGGTGTAACAGTACCTACCTCACAGAGCCATTGTGGGTTATATGATGCAGGTAAAACACAGCATAGAATTTGGCACCCAGAAGTGCTCATCAAGTGGTAAATATTACTTTATTTTTTATATTACAGGAGGGCACCTTCCATTCCTTACCTAATGATCCTTTATGTATTGTCTCATGAGCTCCCTGGCTATTCAGAATATGCCAGGAGATTGACAGACCCATATTTCAGATGAGAAAACTAAAGCTCAGAGAAGGGAAGTGACTTAAATAACAAGGTGAACTAGTAGGCATACTCAGGTTCCTCCCGTGGCCTGGGAGATGCCCTGACAGAGTTTTGGGGTGCTCATATCCCTACCCCCCACAGTCCTGACGTGGATCATCATCCTGCTCTCGGTCACAGTGACCTCCATCACAGGCCTCTCCATCTCAGCCATCTCCACCAACGGCAAGGTCAAGTCAGGTGGGCCCACTCCAGCCCCAAGATCTTCCTTTTATAGGCTCTCTGAGTCTTCACCCTGAGAATGGGTCTCACCATTTCCCCCTTTCCCCCATGGGCCACCCCAGCTGCTCCTGTGGTTCCAGGTGAAGGCTCCGGGCAGGCTCTCCACACCATGGGGTGGCCTAAGTTATCTCCTGTCCTGTGGGCCCCATGGTCACCCTGTCCCAGCCTCGACATCTGCCTGTCCCAAGTTCACCCCCTCCAGCTGATTCCTCTGGTTTCACGGCTGCTGGCTCTGGCCCCATAGGTGGCACTTACTTCCTCATCTCCCGGAGTCTGGGCCCAGAGCTAGGGGGCTCCATCGGCCTCATTTTCGCTTTTGCCAATGCCGTGGGTGTGGCCATGCACACAGTGGGCTTTGCAGAGACTGTGCGGGACCTGCTCCAGGTAAGGCCCGGGGCTAGACCCTAGGTGGAGGGAGCCTGGGCAGCCTACCCCACTCTCCCCCACCCCATCTGGGCCAGGCCTTCCTGCTGCCCTGCCTGATTTCACCTGTCAGGGACCAAGGCCACAGTCTGATCACTGTGGGTGACAATGACAATCTCATCATATAAAGACCATTCCCACAAGTCCCCTTCATGAGTATATGTTACCTATAGGGCTGAATTATCCAGTGCATGCAGCAGTCACTTTGGGGGATCTTTATGCAGGGAAGGTGTTTGAGTTTGTTCTTTCCTGTCAGGGGCACCCTCCATGACGTGCCTCCGAGGCAGTGGGGTGTTCAGAGGGCTGCATGCAGTTTGGCCTGTTTCCCCTCCCCAGGAGTATGGCACGCCCATCGTGGACCCCATTAACGACATCCGCATCATTGGTGTGGTCACGGTCACTGTGCTGCTGGCCATCTCCCTGGCTGGCATGGAGTGGGAGTCCAAGGTATGGGCATGGTGGGGAGGGGACATGGAGGTGTTGAGACCCAGGTCCTGGTCCTGTTCTGCCTCGTCTTATGTATATTAGCCAGGCTTTAGGTTTTGGCTGCTATAACAAAGAGACCCTGAGTAACAGTGCCTTAAGCAAGACAGACTGTTTCTCTCACATGTAACACTCCAGGTATACATGATCTAGGGTGGGCATGTTGGCTCCAGGGGTTCAGGCACCCAGACTCCTTCCATCCTGTGGCCCGTCCATTCTGGGGGTGTGGCCCTCATCCACCTGGTCCAAGATGGCCACCACCACCATGTCCACAGTGTAGTCAGAAAGGTGAAATGAAAGGCAGGACATTCCCTTTCCCCTTCCCTCCTTTCAAGGCATGATCTGGAAGTTGTATCACTGTCTGTGCATAGCTGCAGGGGAGGCTGGGGACATGTGGTCCTCATTGAACCAAGTATCCAGCCTGAAGTCTGAAGTTAGTAGCTGCTACGAAATAAGGGGAGAAGGGATGTTGGGCTACAGCAGCAGACTTGGCCAGACGCTCTGGGCCTGCAAGCCCCGTGGAACCGGGCCCCTGCTGCCTCCCCTCTGACCTCCAGCTGTGCTGGCCTCGCTCTTCCTTGAATGCACCAGGTCTAACCCCCCAAATCATTCTATGGCTCGCTCATCCTCCTCCTTTAGGTGTCTGCTAAAGTCTCCTCCTTGGAGACACCTTCCCAAGCCACCCTGCTAAAGTAGCTCCCAGCCCAGTCTCCATCACACCCCCTGCTCCTACTCTAAATTCATCTTATTTATCATCCAGGACAAGAGGCCTTGGACATCTAGTTCACTGCTATATCCCCAATTCCTTGAACAGAGCTTGCTGCATAATGGGTGTTAAATGAATGAATGAGTGAATCATGAACTGAGGGACATAGGGCAAGTTCTTCCCTGGTGGGTCTTCCTGAAGAAGTGGAACCAGGCAATTGACCTCTGGGGTCCTTTACCTCCCAGGCCCAGGTGCTGTTCTTCCTTGTCATCATGGTCTCCTTCATCAACTACTTGGTGGGGACACTGATCCCCCCATCTGAGGACAAGGCCTCCAAAGGCTTCTTCAGCTACCATGGTATGTGCAGGTTGGGGTACTGACGATGGCTCTGGGGACAGGGATGAATCTGGCCCATTGTGTGGGCACCAGGAGGATGGGATCCCCCACTCCCACTGCCAGGGGCTTCCAGGGGAGCTGACTTGGCTGCCTAGCTGGGCCCAGCAAGGCAGACTGAGCCCTCCAGGTGGCCCTGACTCAGGCCTTGGCTTTCCAGGGGACATTTTTGTCCAGAACTTGGTGCCTGACTGGCGAGGTCCAGATGGCAGCTTCTTTGGGATGTTCTCCATCTTCTTCCCCTCAGCCACAGGCATCTTGGCGGGGGCCAACATCTCCGGAGACCTCAAGGTAAGCAGAATACCTGACCCTTCTGCATCCTGGCACTGAGAGTGCTGTGAACAGAATCTGGCTCCTTGTCCTACCGGGATCTGCTGCTGGGCAGAGTTTGGCACTGAGAACAGGGGTCAGAGCTTCCAAAATCCAGCCCAGTCTAACTCAACTCAATTCAGTTTGATCCAAATCAATTTCATTTCATTCAATTCTGGAGTTGTTGATTAATAGTAGCTGCACTCAAGGCCTCGGTGGCCACCAAAACTAGGCTAGTCTCTTCCCTAGTTCCTGGGACTCTCAGCTTTAGGAGAAGACTGACCCAGCTGTGACCTTCCAGAACTCAGCCTTGACTGTGCCCATGTTTGCTGGGCTGACATCCTCCCAGAGTTCTCCACTGCCCTTGTACAGGCAGGCTCCAGCTCACCTGTCCACCCTCATTCCTGACCACTGCCACCGTTCTCCTGACCCTGCTCCATGCCTGAGGCTCCCATGTTGCCCTGTCCCTCCTCCATGTCTTTGTGCTCTACTCTCTATCTGGACTCCCTATCCTTTATTCTTTACCTCGTAAGGTTCCGCTTGTATTTCAAATACCTCCTCCATTCTTACACCTCTCTGAGGCCTTCCATCAGAGCATGGCTCCTTTAGCATAGTGATGTTGGGCCATTCGGATGTCTGTTCCTCCTGCATCTGGAGAACTTAGACCCACCTCTATCTCCCTAGTCCCTCCCAGCTTAGAGTCTGACACATACTAGGTACATGTCAGGACATGTTTGTTGACTGAATAGCGCTGAAATGCAGTGTCAGAGCAGAAGCACAAAGTGCTGTACGGTAGGGGAGAAAAAAAGGCTGATGTTGGCAGGGGCTCCAGCAAGACTTCCGGCAGGATGGAGGTGGGGCTGGAGCTAGGATTGAAAGACGACAACCCGATAGAGCCTTTGCCAGTGGGAGGATCAAAGGAGATGGTGGGCAAGTGAGGGTGATCAGTGAGAAGCCTCTTGCTGTGCTGGAAATCACAGTCAACCCTCACCCCCAATCTCCAGTCGCACTTGGATGGTGTTCCTCGATGCTTTTTCTTAACTGAATTAAAACTTGTGCATTGGAGACAATTTTGAAGCCAGCCTGGCTCTACCTGGGTATGCCCTGGGTGGTGTACAGCAGGGCCCGGAACTTGGATCGTGGCTGTTTGTCCAGCTCCTCTCCCTTCTCTGGGGAGCAGTCAGAAGAGGCTTGGTCTGCCTGCCCTGAGGTCCCTGCAGAGGTTGGGTCTGTGCTCGAACAGGCTGGATCCTCTCCGAGCCCCATTGAAGATCATCTCCTGGGAATTTATCTAGATGCTTCACCAGACACACTGGCCCAGTGTGCAGGCGTCAGGCCCAGGCAGCTGTCTCGGAGCAGGGTGAGGCGGGCACCTTCGCTATGTCCTAAATGCCTTCAAGCTGTAAAGGGGTCCATGGCTCTTGGACTTGGTCCTCTGCCCATCCCGTGGGACGGTGTCCTCAGCAGCAGAGCAGCTCTTATTCATGGAGCCCTCACGATGAGACTTTGGACAAGTCCATTAAAACCTCCCTGAGCCTCAGCTTCTGCAATTGTAAAATGGAATGAATCCAGCCCGCACCTTGCAGGGTGGTGGTGAGGATTCAGTGAGCTAATTCCCATACAGTGCTCAGAACAGAACCTGGCAGGGAGGAAGTGCTAAGAGCGAGGTGTCATTTTTACCACCTTACAGACGAGCAAGCCAAGCTTGGAGAGGTTTGGGGACTTGCCCAGAGCCACACAGGAGGCAGAGGAGCTAGAATGCAAGTTTCTAGAGCAAAGAGACCTCAGCTTAACCACAACAACTTTATCACTCAACAAATATTTTTGTGTTGTCCCAGGTCATGTCCCTCTGCACAACATTGCCCCACCTCCAATAGCTCACATTTATGGGTGCTTGCTATGTGCCAGGTTATTTCCTTTTTCCACAGATGGGGAAACTGAGGCTCAGAGATGTTGAGGGGTTTCTCCCATTGCACACAGCTAGGAAGAGAGGGGCTGACAGGTGGACCCCGATATGCCTGACTGGTGAGCTGGGCTTTGAGATCTCAGACCAAGGCTCCAGGTGTCAGGATGGGGCTTGAGGGCTGATGTATTCGTTTCCTGTGGCTGCTATGTGAACTTACCACAAACTTGGTGGCTTAAAACAACAGAAATGTATTCTCTCACAGTTCTGGAGGTTAGAAGTACCAAATCAAGGTGTTCGCAGGGCCACGCTCCCTCTGGAGGCTCTAGGGGAGAATCCTTCCTTGTCTCTTCCTAACTTCGAGTGGCTCCCAGCAATCCTTGGCATTCCTTGGCTTGTAGGTGCATCACTCCAATCTCTGCCTCTGTCTTCACATGGAATTCTTTCCTCTGTGTGTCTCTGCATGTCCTTTCCTCTTCTTATAAGGACACCAGTCATTGCATTTGGGGACCACCCTAATTCAGTATGACCTCATCTTAACTAATGACATCTGCAAAAACCCTATTTCCGAGTAAGGTCACATCCTGAGGTTCTGCGTGAAAGTGAATTTTGGGGATGCTATTCAACCCACTAGAGATGGGATGGAAGGCTGGCCTGATCTGTTGGCCTTAGGGTCAGGGACTCCATGTGCATGGCTCAATCGGGCCATCCTGGTACACAGGGCAGGCCTGGCAGGACCATGGCTCAGGGCCCTCAAAGCAGAGATCCCAGCCTCCCTCCAGCTCTGTGCCTCTGCTCCCATTTTTCCTGTGCCCACTACACCTCCCTCCCACCTCCTCCTGACAGCTCCACCCTCTGATTTGTCTCTAATTTGTGGTTCTACCTACCAACTGGGCAGTGAGTAGAATAGCCCAGGGAAAGCTGGGGAGGTTTATAAGTCCACTTCCCATGGCGGACTTGGCCTTCCCCTTCGGTCAGAGTCTGTGCGTGGAGGGTGCAGGAGGTCTTGAACTTGCTGTAAAAGTCCCAGCCTGTGTTGCTGTACCCAGGATTGGCCTCCAGAACCTGAGGCTGTGGACCTTGGTGTGGTCAGGATCAGAGCTGCCAGAGGCTCTGTGAGCTGGGTCCTCCTCATGGCTCCCTGTCCTCAGTTTCCCCACCAGCTGGGAGCGGGTGCCAAGGCCACTTCTCGGGAAATCACATTTGAGAAAGTGCCTAGTTGAGTGGAACGTGTGATGTGTGTGTGAAGGTTTGTTATCACTATTAGCAAAATACAAGCAGAAATTTCTTTCTCGGGGCAGGGAGGAGAAAGTTTGGGGCTTGTCCTGTTTATTGATGTGGAACCAGACAAATCAATCGGTGCATAATGATTTAATACACTGTGAGGGGTGACTGAGCCAGGTCCCGGTCTAAGGGCTTGATGTGGATTAGTTCACTTCACCAACATCCCTGTGCACTTGCACTGCCCTCACCCCACCTGCAGATGAAGGGCTGAGATCAGAGCACAGCACGCTGCCCAGTTGGCCTCTTGGAATTGAACCCAGGCAGGCTGACTCCAGATGCCTGCCATCCTGACCCCTGCCCTTCACCACCCCTGTAGCAAGTGTTGGTCACGTGCCCTCTGTGGCCCAGGCATGGAGCTGTTGGAGTTTCTCTCCCTGCCTCAGGCTCCCAGGGCCTTGGATATGGTCTTAGCCCCATGATCTTGGTCGTGTCCATCCTCCTTCCTCTCCTTGCTGGAACAGGGGCTCTGAGGGACAACGTCAGGGATCGCTGCCTGCCCTGGCCTCAGACAAGGTGCAGGAGCATGGGAGGAGGCGCAGAGGTTGCCTGACACCCTGCCTCCCTCCCTGTATCCTGCAGGACCCTGCTGTAGCCATCCCCAAGGGGACGCTCATGGCCATTTTCTGGACCACAGTGTCCTACTTGGCCATCTCAGCCACAATCGGTGAGTAGCTGTCCCAGCCAGATGGGGAGGGACAGATACCTGTCCCCCACCTTGCAATGTCCGCAGAGGCCAGACCCCTGGAGGGGATTACAGGGTGGGATTCAACTCTCTAACATGGTGAGCTAGGATGGGAGGACATCATGGCCCCCGGATGTGGAGCTTGAACCCTGTCTTGGGGGCACCTTGATCGTAACTGGAGCATCTTCACGGGGGGGTGCAGTTTCTGGTGGAGATGGGGGAGCAGTCAGACCAAGCTCCTTTGATCCCTTCAAACCTTAAGGTTCCAGATTCGTGGGTGTGGAGATCCTGCAGGACAAATCATGCTCCGACACTAGGAATGATGACGATGACGATGACACCAGCAACTGACTTACCATCGTCCCAGCCCTTTACACACTTTTACCACATTTAATCCAGGCACTGTCATTTCCTCCATTTTACAGAATAGAAAATGGGGGCTCAGAGAGGTTAAGTGACCTGCCCAAGGTCACACAGCCACTGACTGGTGGAGCTGGGCTTTGAACCTAGGCCTGGGCTGTTAACACCTGCCTGGAACTGAGATTCTCACAGGTGCACTTGCTCCCAGTGACCACCTCTAAGGCAAGCTGTTTACAGATGGCCAAGGGATTTGGCCCGGCTCAGAGCCATTCAGGGTTTGAGGCCAGGTCTCCACTTTAAGAAGGACATTGTGATCTCGGGCGGGTCACTTAAGATCTCTGTGCCTCTGTAAAACTGTAAAATGGCAAGACAACAAAAATAATCCTAGCACCTGCTTCCCAGGGTTGCTGTAAAGTACTCCCATGGCACCTGGCACATCGTAAGCACAGCTGCATATTAACTATTATCATTACTATCATACACGACAAAGGAAGAGCTGAGCCATCTGAGGCATCTTGCCCTCTGCAGAAGTGGCTGGCATTTGAGGGATGGGAGAGGACAGAGGGAAGGAAGGGAGACCTCCCCATGAATTTCTTCCTCCTCTCAGGCTCCTGCGTGGTACGGGATGCCTCTGGGGTCCTGAATGACACAGTGACCTCTGGCTGGGGTGCCTGTGAGGGGCTGGCCTGCGGCTATGGCTGGAACTTCACCGAGTGCACCCAACAGCACAGCTGCCGCTATGGCCTCATCAACTACTACCAGGTACCGCGGGGCCTCTGCCAGGAAGGCTGCCCCACTATACACACGGGGTGTTGGGTAGAGGCCAGAGGCCCCTTGCAGTGCTGGATCAGGCTGGAGTAGATGTAGTTGGGGAGCCAGGCCCCAGGCTTGGGGAAGAGAGGTTCTGAGCTCAGGTGGGGGTCCTGTGCCCAGCCTTTACCTGTGGGTGGGTACTGGGATTCCCAGGTGGAGGTTACGGACTCAGATGGAGGCTTCAGGACCCAGCACCTGCCTGCAGTAGGGATTCGGGTGCCACAGGTGGGGGCTCCTGGCTCAGGGCCCTGAACCCCAAATCCCTGCAGACTATGAGCATGGTGTCAGGCTTTGCCCCCCTGATCACAGCTGGCATCTTTGGGGCCACCCTCTCCTCTGCCCTGGCCTGCCTAGTCTCCGCTGCCAAAGTCTTCCAGGTGAGGCCACAGAAAGGGGCCAAGGTGGGGGTGGGGGACTGGGTAGGGGGGCCCAGGTAGAAGGGACCTCAGGTGGCTGCTACAAAGACCTGGAGGTGTCATGTGACCGGTGTATAAACAGAAGGGAAGGGGCCGGGCAAGCAAACTTGTGAAGGAAGCCCCGTCCTGCGGTGTGATTTGAAGACCACCTGCATTTCCCACCCTACACTCTCACCTGTGCCACCGGCAGCCTGTCTGCAATTCCACCATTCAAGTTCCACCCCTGTGCAATCGACCCTTCGCATTACGCCCTTTTACTGTCTTCATGGTGAGGTAGGGGAGAGTGGGGAATTCACCCCCATTTAACAGAAACAGAAATCAGGACCCAGATTGGGGAAGTGCCCTGCTGAGGTCATGGAGGGGGGCTAGCAGGCGCTGCAGTCCAGGTGGCCCTCGGGGCGGGAAGGTGGCAGGTCCCAGCCAGAGGGTAAGTGTGCATCCGGTGCCTGCAGCGCCTGTGTGAGGACCAGCTGTACCCGCTGATCGGCTTCTTTGGCAAAGGCTATGGCAAGAACAATGAGCCTGTGCGTGGCTACCTGCTGGCCTATGTCATTGCCGTGGCCTTCATCATCATTGGTAAGAGGGTGGCAGGGACAGCAGGGGCCTGACCTCCAGGCCAGGCCATGAGGGCCATGGGAGCAGCGCTCCCCTTTCTCCTATCCTATCCCTCCCACGCCCCAGTGCCCAGCTGGCCTGGCAGTCAGTGGGAACCCAGTGAATAACTCTCGAGTGGGTGAGGCTCTACCTGGAAGGAGACTTTGGGAGGCCACGTGGTCCTTCCCCCTCCAAACACGGCGGCTCCCAAATCATGGCAGGCAGCGGACAATTCTGTTTTGGGAGAAGGGACATCACCTGCTTTCCAGTGTTCTGGCAGCTGGGGCACCCCATACCACTTCCCAGGTCTAAATGAAGCTCCAGGACACCTGTGGGGCACAGAGTACACTGACTGGTCCCTCCTTGGGAGCTGATGCAAATGGCTGGGTCAATATCCTCATAAGTGTATAAACTAGACAAGCCCAGTTTCTCAGACCTGGAGCTGCTAGACCCCTTGGGCTTCAAGGTGGGGGATGCCTGAGTAGAAAGGGCCCAGTTAACCAGTTAATCAGATTGACTTCCTATCCCAGCTTTGCTATGTGCCAGCTTGTGTGACCTTGGATAAATTACTTCATCCCTCTGAACCTCCATTTCTTCATCTGCAGAATGGGAGCAATAGTACATAACAGGTGTGTCACAGATGGGCATGGAGAGACCATGTGTGTACGCACACAGCCACATGGACACAGCCACACACATGCACACCCACAGCATTCATATTTGCACACACACTCACACGTGTGCACACACCCAATTCTTCCTGATTAACTCAGCTGAGGAGGCAAAACTTGGTAGGAGAGAGGTGGCCATAGCAAGCAAGGGCAGTGGCCACACTGTGACATGACATCCCCCTGGTCCCTGCTTTCTGTGCAGGAGCAGGGTGGGGCTAGGCTGCTGGTGGGCATTCTGGGCTTGTAGGTACCTTCCTGCCACAGCCAAATCTCTGCTGCTCAGGTCAGCATCACCAATCTGTAAGACTTAACCTGATGATCTGGTCATGTCACCCAAGGGAAGCTTTCCAGGCACTGGACATGCCTAGATCCTGAACCATATGAAAAGGTTGCAGGGTCATACCAGAGGATGGAAAAGTCTGGTCAGGCCTGGTGTTCCCTGGATCCATCTCTGCTTCCTGCTCACCAGGGCCCAGATGCCCATTTTCCTACATTTCACCCCAGCTTGTATTTGATGTCCTTTTATCTGGGTGGTTCTGACTTGACTTCAGACTGAGGACCATGGTCTCTGATACTCTGGGTCAGGATTCTTAGGGTGATTAAATGGAACCATGGACAGAAGGACCCAGCACATAAAAGAGGTGTTTGTCTTGTTCAGGGAGCCCCAGAAGCAGGCCCAGAGACAAGGATTCACATGCAAAAGTTTATCTGGGAGTGCTGGGGGTGGTGGCAGTGGAGGGGGACAGTGAGACAGGGAAGAGAGTTCTTAAGCAGGTTACCACGGTGGGTGGAACTGCGATATGGTCTCGAGTCACATTGCAAAATATATTTCTTACTGTCATTTGTGATCAAAATAGTGTGACAGCCACTGCCCTTGGTCATCCCATAGCCTGATGGGTCTCTCTCACACTGTCCTCTATCCTCTTAAAAGCTGTCAGCTTACAGTTTATAAGACACTGTCTCTGTAAGCATCACAAAATGATGAACCCATTTCATAGATGAGAAGGCCGAGTCTACTTGAGCCTCAGTGGCCTATCTGGGGTCCCCCATCCTGCGAGGGAGAGTGCCAGGCAGCTCCTTGGCAGAGTTGCCAACAGGCTGTCCCCTCTCTCCCTGGGTCCCTGAAGCCGAGCTCAATACCATCGCCCCCATCATTTCCAACTTCTTCCTGTGCTCCTACGCTCTCATCAACTTCAGCTGCTTCCATGCCTCCATCACCAACTCGCCTGGTAAGCAAACCCTATGCCCCTCCACAGGAGGAGGCACCTAGGAACTGTGGTTTTGCGGGGTGGAGTGGGAGTGGGAGGTGTGGATGGAGGTAGGCAGCCCAAGGTCACCTCTCCAGTTGAAACCAGTTAAAGGGAACATTCATATAATAATAGCAGCTATCCTTTATCAAGCACTTACAGAGTGCATTTTACATGGATATGTTGTTTACAGTCTATAGAGATTCTTCTTAACTCTGGTGCCTTTCTTAACCAGATTTATAGGGGTCAAGAGTCTGATTCCTCAGAGAGGGAAAAGAATTATCCAAAGTCACAGACAGAACTTTCACATATGGTGCTACAGGTTGCACACTGCACAACTCAAGGGGGCGCCATTCTTACTATAGGTTTCTTAGATTTGTATGTTTATGATGAAAAAGTCCTGGCAGATGGTAGAAAAGCCTTTGTAAAGACTTTTTCTAACTAGCCCCACATTGCTGATCCCTATTACCAGGCCACCTTTTACATAGACCACAGTGTGCGTGATGCCCTGGAGCTGTGCCATGAGGCAGCCTTCCCTAGTGGCAGCCCTGCCTGGCCTGCTGGTGTGGAGCCAGGCAGAATCATGTCCCTCCCTCTCCATCTTACCTCCTTGGCTCCACTAGAGCCATGGCAGCCAGTGCTGTTGCTGACCTTGGACGTCCTATGGCCATATTTGGCTAGAGCTGGATGCCTCCTCCTTGGTGTAGCCTGTCGACATGGTGAAATGCCAGCTGAGACAAGCATGTGGTCCTCCCCAGAGTCGCTAGGCCAGCCCCAGGAGGCAGGCTGGTGGTGCCCCTTGATGTCCATGGCTGGTGGGCACAGGCCAGGACCCTGGCTCTGGGCACTGCTGGCATTGCCGTCCAGCCCTGCCCTGGCCTGGGAGGAGGCTCCAGAGTTCCGGCTTTGCCCGCTGACTTGTGCCCCTGGGCCAGGGTGGAGACCCTCCTTCCGGTACTACAGCAAGTGGGCGGCGTTGTTTGGGGCAGTCATCTCCGTGGTCATCATGTTCCTCCTGACCTGGTGGGCGGCTCTCATTGCCATCGGCGTCGTGCTCTTCCTCCTGCTCTACGTGATCTACAAGAAGCCAGGTGTGCGGGCTCAGCCGCCTGGGGCTTACCCCCACCCCAAGGCAGCCATGTGCGCAGTCCTGCCCTCCAGCCCGGCTAGAGGACCCAGGATCAGCTCTGTGCTTTCCAGAGCCCCATTCTGGCCTCCCACCTCATCCCTCCCTGTGGGCTGAGGAGCCTAAAGAGATGTGCCCACTCAGCCCACACCTCTCCCTCTAGACCACCCCAGGCACCCAGGACCCCATAATCCTCTGCCCAAAGGACCCTGAGCCGGCTTCCGGGGCCTGTGCAGGCCTCTTCTTCAGGGCCACCCTCCCATGGGGGGCCAGCCACTGGCCTAAGCCTGAGGGTGGCTATTTGAAGGGCAGGTGGATAAAGCTTGGACACTGTGCAAGGAGCCCACATGCATGCAGGCAGGAATCCTGGGGTGACAGCTAGGAGGGTGGGAAACAGAACTCCAAGGAAGCCTGGAAGTCTAAGTTTGAACCTGGACTTCCAGGTCACTGTGAAGGTCACTATGAAGGTCTGTTTGTCAGGGTAAGAGGGTACTTCAAAAAGTTCACGGAAAGAGTTGTATTGTATTTCAATTCTATTTTTCCTTGAACTTTTTGAAGTACCTTAGTATTTTGTAGTGTTGAGTACCCTGATGTATAACTTTTAATATGGAGCCGTGTGGTATCTGCAAACATTAGGAACAGATCTGCAGGCTGTCCCCTGCCAGGTGGCCCTGCCCCACAGGTGCTCAGCATCTAAAGAAGGCTGACATTCCCTCCCTTCCTCCCTCCCTCCACATGTCTGGTTTCTTCTCCTGACTTCTAATCTTGCTCTCACCCCTGGCCCTGCCCTCAGAGGTAAACTGGGGTTCCTCGGTGCAGGCCAGCTCCTACAACCTGGCCCTGAGCTACGCGGTGGGCCTTAACGAGGTGGAAGACCACATCAAAAACTTCCGGTGAGCAGTTTCCGGGACCCGCCTGGGATGCAGGGGCCAGGGATGGCCTTGCCCTGGGAGTCCAGGAGTCAAGACCTGTCACCTGACCCCACAGACCTGGGTGGGCACAGCCCCCACTCAGAGAGGGAGCAGAGGTAGAGGAATACTACCTGGTCTTCAGGAGACCGGGGTTGACATTGCCAGATGGGAAACAAGCAATTCAAGGGACCGCTCTGTGCCTCAGTTTCCACAGTGGAACATGCTGTGTTGTAAGGGCGATTTGGTTTCGTAATTCCTATCACAATAATCTCATGAGGCTGACAGTGACAACCTTCCCCTGGGTACTGCTCAAAGCTGATTCCCCTCCTTGGTGAGGAGAATCAAGCACCTGTGATCACTTTCCCACCAGATCATTATGATAATAATCGGCGATATCTATTTATGTCACACTTACTGTGAACCCTTGAAAAGTGCCTTACACAGGCTCACGACAACCCCCTGAGGTCCACGAAATTGCTAACCCCAGTTGCAGCCGAGGACACTGACGCATGGAGAGGTTAAGTAACTGACCCCAAGTCCCACAGCTGGTGAACAGCCGGTTGAGTCTGGCTCTGATTGACTCTGGTAGTGACCCCTGAAGGTCACCCTTGAGTCCCATACTGGGAGACTGGGCCCAAGGCTCTCAGAGTCATGCCTGAGGCCACAGGTTCATGGAGACCTGGAAGGGAGCGGAACTCCTGAGGTGCCAGCCTTTAGCACCTAGACACCCCAGGCTCTCTCCTGACGGCTCATGCCCTTTTCCCTTCCCCTCCTCAGCCCCCAGTGCCTGGTGCTCACCGGGCCCCCCAACTTCCGCCCGGCCCTGGTAGATTTTGTGGGCACCTTCACCCGGAACCTCAGCCTAATGATCTGTGGCCACGTGCTCATCGTGAGTGCCTCCTGGAGGTGGGGCAGGGCCATACTCCTGGGAGCCACCTGGCTGCCATGTCCATTTATGGGGTGTGGGCGGAGGGCATGTGGAGCAAGCAGAGCCTAGCCAGACCCCCAGTTCTCTCCCCCTCCCGGCCCCTCTCCCCGGCTTCTTCCCCACTGGTCTGCCTCTCACCTGCTCCCTCCACCTCCTTCCTTCCCCCTCCCTCCTCCTGTTCTTTTCCTCCCCTAACTCTGTAAAGGAAAATGGGCCCCTCAGGGTGCTGCTGAGCCCATGGGGCAGCCTCCAGGGCAGGAGAGGGGCTGAATCTCAGGCCAGAGGGTGAAGGCAGCCCCTGACATCACCTGCCCCTGCCACCCACAGGGACCCCGCAAGCAGAGGATGCCTGAGCTCCGGCTCATTGCCAACGGGCACACCAAGTGGTTGATCAAGAGGAAGATCAAGACCTTTTACTCGGATGTCATCGCTGAGGACCTCCGCAGTGGGGTCCAGATGCTTATGCAGGTGCCCTGGGTTTGGGGTTTCCCTACAAGGCTTGATGTGACAGCTCAGAAGGCAGAAGGTCCTAGGGGCCTAGTGTAAGCCCCTTTTGCTGCAACAGAAGTCCCACCTTTCTGATTCTTTGAGTGCCCAGGACCTGAGAAACTGACTCAGAAGCCTCTGGGGGCTGCGTTACCTTGGCCAGTTCTCGTTTTTGTTTTTATTTTTTAAAGATATAACTTATACACAGTAAAGTGAAAAAACAGTAAGTGTATAGTTTGATAAATGTTTATCAAATATTTATATAAAAAATATGTAGACACTGTTCAGTTTTCTCATGTAAAATTAGGTGCACAGATAAAATAATAACAGTTGTTAATTCTGAGGGATGATAATCTTTTTCAATAGTTTTAGATATTTCTCAAAATTAAAAAAAAGCATATGGGGTATCTTTTGGGGGTTATGGCAGTATTTTGGAAGTAGATAGAGGTGATGGTATTGTGAATGTACTAAATGCCATTGAAATGTACACTTTAAAACTGTTAATTTTGTTATGTGAATTTCACCTCAAAAATTAAAAAAATTTTGGGCCGCCCGTGGCTCACTCGGTAGAGTGCGGTGCTGATAACACCAAGGCCCCGGGTTTGGATCCCATATAGGGATGGCCGGTTTGCTCACTGGCTGAGTGTGGTGCTGACAACACCAAGCCAAGGGTTAAGATCCCCTTACTGGTCATCTTTTTAAAAAAAAAAACAAATTAAAAAAAATTAAAAAAATTTTAACATTAAAAAAAGAGAAAAATAAAGGATGCAGGGATTAGATGACCCAGGGACAGTCTAAGGTTAACATCTAAATTCAAGTCTCTTATTTTGAGAACTCATGGGATAGTCCAGTTCTTGCCCAGGCTTGGAGAAATCACAGGAGATAATTTTGGCTATAGCTTCACCTTTCTCCTGGTGTGTCCAGGCAGACAAGAGCCTAAACAGGGATATATATTTCCTGAGCCTCTGCAGCATGGATGGGAGAGTGGCTGGGGCTAAAAGAGAGCCCAACCCTAGCCACGGAACAGAGCCCCTTGGAGCATGAGGTCTGTTCAGCAGCCCTGCCCTCTGACTGATCCCCTACCTCACCCCTGGCAGGCTGCAGGTCTCGGGAGAATGAAGCCCAACATGCTGGTGGTTGGGTTCAAGAAGAACTGGCAGTTGGCTCACCCAGCCGCAGTGGAAGACTACATCGGCATCCTGCAGTGAGTGAAGGCCTGATCAGGCAGGGGCCTGGGATCTTTTGATTTGGGCCAACAGGGTTTCCTGGGCTTTGGGAAATGGAAGGGAAGCAGTGGATGCTATAAGATGTTGAAAGCTCAGGAGGAAACAGGCTGAGGGTGTCCCACCCTGACCTATGGGACATGGACACCAAGGTCAGCAGGGATCAGGTAGGTAACACCAAGAATGGAATGGGCCAGGTGTAGGGCAATAGGGAGCAGTGGGGACTATGGTAAACTGGGGAGAACAGCTACTTGGCTCTAGCCAGTTCTGCCCATGCAGAAATGTGGGCCCAGGGTCGCCAGATCTTTTAATTTTCAGAGTAGCTGAAAATGTGGGATTTTAGGTGACAAGCTTGTGCCCACCTGTGTGCTTCAGAAAGCCTACACGTAGTCAGCTCAAGAGCTGTGAGGTGGTGCCACTGAGCAGAGAAGAGAAACCAGGCCCCTGAGGACTGAACTCCCTGGGAATTTCAGGGTTGACTCCAAAGGCTGTCTCCGTCAGCTGCGGATGTGCAAGGTCCAGAGAAGCCTGCCTGAGTGGCTTTTTGGCATTGATGTTGCATAGAGGGGCAGTGTGCAGTTTCATTAGAGAACACGAGGCTGAGTGTTGGGGCCCTGGGACCTGCTTCCAGGTCTGCTGTTAACCAGTTGTATGACTCCAAGCAATCATCTCACCTGCCTCTAACAAAATTACAACAGGGAATGGTGGGAATACCTGGTCTCCAAGCTCCTCCCAGCTCCAAAATTCTAAGACTTCAAAATGCAGGGGCCTGAGAGGTCCCTTTCCCAGAGATGTGTAATTAAAGGAGTCCAGGGAGGACAATGCTTAGCCCATTGGATCAAACTCTAATGGTGGGCTCTTGGGCACTGTGTCAGTCGGGCAGTAATATGCATCTGGGGCAGGAACCTTCCAGACATTCCATGTAGACCAACTATTGCATGAGTGAGACTGTTCCTGTGTGCATGCCTATCCTTCGCCCATTGGATCAAACTCTAATGGTGGGCTCTTGGGCACTGTGTCAGTCGGGCAGTAATATGAATCTGGGGCAGGAACCTTCCAGACATTCCATGTAGACCAACTATTGCATGAGTGAGACTGTTCCTGTGTGCATGCCTATCCTTTGGTTTATAGTCTCAGCTACATAATTCTCATCCCAGCGGGTCATCTCTTTAGTTGTATGATCCTGGGAAAGTTACTCCCCAAAACTCAGTTTTTGCATTTGTAAAATGGAGATAATAATTAACATCCCCACCTCTATGGCCAGGGTTGTGAAGATTATCCAACTGTATCAGGAAGACAGGGCCTGACCATAGGATCCACAGGATCTACAGTGCCATAGACTGTAGAACTAGAGAGGTCTTGGGGGACTCTCCAGAACTGTCTGCACATTATACAGTTGGGAAAACTGAGGCCAAGAGAGGAGAAAGGGTATGGAAGGAGGCAGGGCCAACTCCACCCCACGCTGGCGGGAGCTGGGGTCAAGAGAAGCCAGAGCTGACCTCCTCTCTTTCCAGCGATGCCTTTGATTTCAACTACGGCGTGTGTGTCATGAGGATGCGTGAAGGGCTCAACATCTCAGAGGTGATGCAGGCACACAGTGAGTACACGCCACACCTGCTCAGTGCCCCTGTCAAAAACTAGAGCAGTATCCCAGAAAGTTCTAGGACCCAATTATTTTTTAAGTGGTGGAGGGAAGAAAGGGAAAAATTTGTACAAAATACAAGGTCATAGACTCATAGAAAATCAGCCCTAGATAGTCCCTCAGAGCACATCAGGTTTCCAAATGGAGAAACTAAGGCCCAGAATGGGGAAAGATGGGTTCAAGGTCATGCTTCCCGCTGGAGGCAGAACCAAGACTGGAACTCAGAGCTCCCCAAATCATGAACAGTGTCTTTGTACCCAGGTGATAAAAAGGATCTAACAGAAAAAAGGAAAAGAGGAGAGATGAGAACGCCACATGGAGAGGCCAGAATATGAAAATATTCATAGAAAGGTCATGAAAACTGGACGTTTTGGTCTTCAGACCATCTTTGGGCACCAAGTACAGATGTATTTTACATTCTAAAGTCATATATGATTACGCAGACTCTGAATTAGTAATATTTAGGGGGGTGTGAAAGAAATACTATCTATGAGAGCACATTGAGGGCAGTGCTGGGGGACCTGGCAGGTTGGACTCTGCGTTTCTTGCAGGCAGCGGCTGGGTCTATTCATCTGTGCCACTGAGGGCTGAGGGCATGCCTGGCGCATGGCGCTGGTCAATAAATATTTATGTAGCCAGTGTTTACAAAGCAGTAGCTACCCTCCTGCCTGATGCTGCTTTAGGTGCTGGGGTTACAGCAGGGACCCAACAAAGACTCTGTTCTTGAGGAGCTGACACTCTAGTGGGAGAAGTGTTATTTAACAGAGGGACCCATAAGTCTCTCAGGTCATGACACTGTCCTGAGGAAGCTGACACAGGGTGCAGTGGTCAGGGAAGGCCTCTCTGAGGAGCAGACCTTTTACTGAGAAGGGCAGGGCTGGGGAAAATGTGTTCCCGGCTCAGGGGGCCTCTACCACCATGGCCCTGAGGTGGAAGCGGGCTTGGCCTGTTTGAGGAATGGGAGGAAGCTGGGCATGTCTGGGGTGTGAAGAGCCAGGGCAGGAGAAAGGTCAGAGGGAGGCAGGAGCCAGCCGTGGAGACCAGGTGAGGAGTCGAGACCTTCTTCCTAATGTTAGGGGAGCCCAGGTGGAGGAGGAGCCCGGGAGTGCCCCCAGGTAAGGAGAGCCTGTGAGCAAGCTGCCCCTCTCTTTTGCAGTTAACCCCGTGTTTGACCCAGCAGAGGATGGCAAGGAAACCAGTGCCAGCGGCGCCAGGCCATCCATCTCTGGCACATGTCAGTCCCCCACTCCTCGCCACCTTCAGAGGCTCAGGACACTCTTGCCCTGTGGGGCAGTTGGTGGTGGGCCACCCAGGAACTTGGTCAAGGGCAGACCATTTCTCCTTGTGGCAGTGGTGCCTGAGTAACGGGATGGGCAACTGGGAGGGCTTGGCCGCTGTTAAAGGGGGAAGTCGAGGACAGGGCTTCAAGGGGACTCCCCCCGCCCAGTGGGCTCTAGGGCTCATGTCCTTCCCCTCCATGGCCCCTCTGGCCATGCTCAAATGTTATAGGCAGGGAGGGGTAGAATGGGGTTCTCCCTCATCCTCTCCTGCCGATACCCTAGGAGGCAGGGGAACCCGCAGTGCTGGCGTGAGGACACCCTGTGGGCATTTTAGAAGGCACAAGGGAGTGTTTAAGAGAATGGAGAGCATGCTGCCCTACCGACGGGCTGCCCCAGAGGGCACTGGGACTCCCACCATACCCCAGTGCCCACCAGAATCCCAGGAGAGAGAAGATGGGAGCAAGAAAGGGCATGTGGCAACACTGTGTGTCTCGGGCCCTGGCTCCTGGTCCACCTGCCTGAGAATCTGAGTCTGTGCATCAGGAGGGGTGCAGGCCTGCCTGGGTGCACACCCGTAGCAGGGTGCTTTCAGCTGCTGTGTGCACGCCGGGTGAGGGATGGTGGGCCCCTCACAGGGCTCTGCTGTCAGATGGCTTCAGGCATCTGATGTGCTCTGCTCTGCTCGGCCCTGCCCCTCCTCTCCTGCAGTGGCCCCCGAGGCACTGGTGCAGGAGGAGCAGGCCAGCACCATCTTCCAGTCAGAGCAGGGCAAGAAGACCATTGACATCTACTGGCTCTTCGACGATGGAGGTCAGTGCCCCATGGACACCGGCTCTCCCCCAGCTGACTTCCCCCCATGCCTCTGCATCTCTTGGCCTGCTCTTGTCAAGGCCTCTGGTGGGCCCCAGAGCCCCGCAAAGGGAACAGGGGCCCTCGGGCCCACCAGTGAGCTTGGGGAGCTTAGCTGGGCCCTTGTCCCTGGCTACTGGTTTTTCAGCTATAAGATGGGGAGAAGCTGAAGTCAGCCAGAGATAGAACCTTCCTTGGAGGTCAGGTGCACCTGACATCAATGGGAGAGATGGGACAGTGCACAGGAAGGCTGTAGGAATGTTCTTCACCTCACAGAGAAATACACCCTCCCCCGCCACCCTTTTCTTAAAACATGACTCAGATTTGTTGTTTCCATCTTTGAAAGAGAGAGAGAAATTGTCTGCCCCAATACAGTATATCCTATTCATGATAGCTAATACAGGCTGAGCGCTTACTACCTGCCCAACATTGAGTGCTCTTCCTGGGCTAACCTAATGCAATCCCCAGGTAGGAAGTATTATTACTAACCCCCCATTTACAAATAAAGAAACTGAGGCACCGAGGATTATGTAGTGACACGTGACAGTTGGTCCTTGGCCTTGTGTGGAGAGACGGCAGGGAGGGATGAGGGCTCCCACCCGTTGGTCAGATTTTCAATCTTCAAGAAATGCCAGTCATCTAGATTTTCACGTGAAACCCCCCAATTACTAAATGCCAGCTTGTTTATCTGCAAACACTGCACACGCCAGCCCACAGAGCACCACGTGCAACTCGGGTATAGTCAGACCTATTCATTATACAGATGGATAAACTGAGGTCCAGAGAGGGGTTTGCTTGTGGCAGAGTGGGGTGGGAAGCCACACGGTGCTCTATCCTGAGTCTTTTCCTCTTGATTCACGGGGACTCCCTCACCAGGCCTCACCCTCCTCATCCCCTACCTCCTTGGCCGTAAGAAGAGGTGGAGCAAATGCAAGATCCGCGTGTTTGTCGGGGGCCAGATCAGCAGGATGGACCAGGAGAGAAAAGCGTAAGAGGGGAGGGTGGCCCCGGGGGCTGCACGGGACCAGCGCCATCTCAGCTCTACCTGAGGCTGCCCCTTCCCCCACTCTGACCCTCCCCCACCTCTTCAGGGGGGTCCTGGGATTGTCCCGAAGCCACTGGCTGGCTATGTCCAGGCCACAGCAGTGGTGAGCAGGGTTCTGGGCAGGAGCTGGGTTCTCCCCATTTCACGAGTTCTTCTGGTTTCCTGTCCCCCTCTAATAATAAGAAGCGGATGCCCTAGTCTTTGCTATGACAAGGAGGGGTGTTAAGTTTTAAAATCACAAATCTCCTCCAGGAGAAACCTGTATGAAATGAAGGATGGAGATCCCTCCTCCTGAGAAATGAAGCAGGGGTTAGAATCCTTGAAGGCAGTGTCCCCAAAGTGTGGGACACACTTGGTGAGACAAGTGGTGACTTTGTGGTGAGGAGATGGGGCAGCAAATACCATCTAATCTTTTGGCAAGAAGTTACTTTTAATTCTTTTTTTTTTTTTTTAAGATGACTAAGAGGATCTTAACCCTTGGCGTGGTGTTGTCAGCACCACGCTCAGCCAGTGAGCGCACTGGCCATCTCTATATAGGATCCAAACCCATGGCCTTGATGTTATCAGCACCGCACTCTCCTGAGTGAGCCACGGGCCGGCCCAGAAGATACTTTTAATTCTCCTCCAATTCTGTGGCTGATTCTGCAGGAGTAGGTCTTGGTTTAGCATTGACCTGTCTTTCTGCTGGTAACCCACACTAATCTCCTGTCTAGCGAGAGGAGCAGGCCTGAACTTGCAGGCTTGGCAGGCAATGGCATCAGGCCAGAATTTAGCAACATGGGTTTATGTACATGGGTTTTATTGGTCAACTCTTTCTGGCAAGAGTTGTTGGTTTTCTGTTTAAAATGGTGATATAAAATTTCCCTTTGAAATGTATCTAAGTTAGAATGTGAGTTGATTTAAACAGAAGAGGAAGTTAATAGTGAGGCAGGTGCCACACAGGTGTGGAGTTGGCAGGGGTTGGGCAGGTGTTGTTGAACGACTGCTGCTTTAGAGCAAGGTCCAGTGAGGTCAAAGGTCACAGGCTCGAGGTCCACTGGAGGGTGCAGACAGTAGGGTGGTTTTCCCAAGGTCATGCAATTAATTAGCCAAGGAGAAGAAGCCTGCTCAGTCTCTAGTACCCTTTGCAACAAACTTGGCTGTGATGCTGCAAGGTCAGGATAGGAGGGAACCCCATGGCCTACACCACCCTTGTCCTATGCCAGGATTACACCCCCACAATCCCCTTCTTTAGTCACCCCTGTGGGAATCAAGGACAATCCAGAAATTCCATCTCTTTGTCCCCATCCCCAAGGAGGACTTCTCCACCAAAAGGCCCCTTTCTCAGCAATGCCAGAGGAAGCATTGCTTGGGGACAGCAGCATCAGGCCTCTCCGTGATCTCCAGAAAGTAAACAAACCACACAGCCTGCTTTGTAGTCCCAGCTTCCTGTTCCAGCTCTGCAGGGAAGCTGGGTTCAGTGGGTTTGGTTTAGCTCAAAGCTGTGGCACCGTTGGGGAATAGCACATCCTTGAGGCGAAGGTTAGGAAAACTCCTCTGTCTCCCGACAGTCCCTTGATGGGCCACATCATCTGCTCTCCCTATGACCCTGGGGCCAGGTCTCGGCTGCCTCCTTTCCCAGCCTGCCAACCCTAGGCCACTGTTTCATTGCAAGGGCCCCCCCCCCCAACCAACTCCCACAGACCTGGGGGCCCAGGGAGTCTGGCTTCACAGTCATGAGCCCATGCTGCTTGCTACTCACCAAAGGCTGATTTTACCTGTGAAGGTGACTATTTTTCTAAAATTTCCCCAATCCCCTTAGTGTTTTCGTAAAGTGGTGGTTCTCAACCTCGGTGTGCATCAGAATCACATGGGGGGTTTGTGAAAGCACAGCTTGCTGGGTCCCACCCCCAAGATTCTGATTCAGTGGGTCTTAGGTCGGGCCTGAGTATCTGCATGTCTAACATGCTCTCAGGTGATGCCAGCGCTGCTGGTTCTGGCAACCACTCTGAGAACTCCCGTCTACCATGTAACGTGCTTAACACAGCACCCGGCCCACAGTCAAAGTTCAGTAAGTACTGGATTTGTGGCTTCTGCTTACTCTTCACTTCTGAGCTCTCACTACAGCTGCATCTCCCCTTGCAGGCCCAGCTGCACTGAAAACTGCCTCCTTCTCCAGGCACTGCCTGATTTAGGTTTCTCTAAAAGGGACTGTGACTGGCCCCACCCATCCCCTCCTGCCAGGCTAAGGTAGAGGTTACTGTGCAGCCTATTTCTTGACTATCTTTGGTCCAGTTGGCTATGGCCAGAGGTGGCAACTTCTGCAGGGGCTGTGGCAGGGTCACGTCCCCTTCCTGGGGCTGAGAGGACCACGGAGCCAGGCAGCTGCAGCCCCTGACATTATGTTCACACATCGGTGTTTGGAGTGGGGAGAATGTTGAATGGTCTACCCAACATCTTCCTCTCTCCCGCTGTGCAACAGCAAGTGTGTGGAATTCAACGGTGTCCTCCTATCTCAGTGTCCTCCTTTCAGTTTCCTCTGTTGGCTCTTCCTCCTCTACCTGACTTACACTTGTTGGCAACTTTAGGGTTTGGCCCAGGACCCTCTTCTCTCCTGTTTACTCTGTCCCCAGGAGAGCTCATCCATCCATGTGGCTTCAGATGACTTCATCTGAATGCTAATTCTAAATTTCTATCTTTAACAGTATAAGTCAGATCCTACAGAAAACCCTCCAACAGCTTCCTGTCTCACTGAGGGCAAATAGCAAAGACCTGCCCGACCGGCCCTCACTGTCCATCTGTGCTCGCCTCCTCCCGCTGTCCCGAGCTTACCTTGCTCCAGCCCACCAGCTCCTTTGATGCTCCTCACACAGGCCAAACATGCCTTTGTCTCAGGGCTGCACATTTAGTTCTGTCTGCTCCCACACCCACTGCCCTGTGCATAGCAGGCTCTGGGAAGACAAACTTCCTTCAGGTCGCAGAGAGGGCTTTCCCACCCCTGTTGTTCTCTAGCCCATTCTTGATTTGAACCTTCATAAAACTTCCACTTTATATTTATTTGCCTATTTGGTTATCACCTAGCAGACCATGAGCTCCATGAAGACAGGGGACACGATCTTATTTGTTCACTGTGTATAGCGCAGAACCTGGCACAGAATAGGGTTCAGTAGAGACTTGCTAAATGGTTGGGTGGGTGGAGGGTGGATCATGGGTCAGTTGTTGCGAACGACTTGTGGAAGTTTGGTTAAATACCAGACCCAAACAGCAGAGCTGAATTGAACACAGTAGCCACTCTGATGTAAATGACAGCGTCAGAATGGGTTTCAGCCTGAAAAGTATGTCTCTGTGGCACCACCTCCAGCTCCCTCCGGGGATCTGGTTCCTCTGGAGACTGGGCCATCTCACCTAGCCTTACCTGCTCTCTCGTCCACAGCATTAAGCGGTTTGAGGACATGATTGCACCCTTCCGCCTGAATGATGGCTTCAAGGACGAGGCCACTGTCACTGAGATGAGGCAGGACTTCCCCTGGAAGATCTCGGACGAGGAGATTAACAAGAACAGAATTAAGGTGCAGGAGAGAGAAGGGCCTTGCTGGGGTGGAGGTGGGGGTGGGTCAAGGCACACCCCTGGGTCAGGGCCATTTGTTCCCTGTGTCCTGAGCTTAGTCCTGAGTCCCCTCCCATGAACCCTTGACTCTGCTTCCCCCTCCCAGCCTCTGAGGTATCCTCAAGCCACAAATGCCTGGGCCGATGGGTAATCCGGCTGATGGGTATCCCTGGAGTGATAGCCTGGTCCTCCTGCCCATTTTGAGAGGCCCTGGCAGTGGACGTGGACCGCCTGGAGTCCTCCCTCTCCTCCTCCATTCCTCCATGCCTGGTGGAAGGGATTCATGAGACAAGCAGTGAGAGTTGAGCACGATTTGTCCTGGGGGCCAACAAAGCTTCCTGACCTTCTGCTCTTAACATATAGTCCCTGCCCCAGCACAACCCAAAGCCACGGCAGCACCTTCAGGACGCTGATAAGGGCTAAGAGAGGGTGTGTGCATCGTGGTGGTGGTGTGGGGAGTACTACTTAGAATGGCTGCTGTAGCCATATGAAGAAGGGATGAGCTGCTAGTGGGTGGGGGCAGGGGTGGATCTCAGTTCTACTCCTGGTGTCAGTGGTTCTCCACCAGGAGTGACTTTGCCACCCTACGCCAAGGGACATTTGGCAACCTCTGGAGACATTTTTGATTGTTGCAACTTGGGAGTGAGGATTGCTACTGTCATCTAGTGGGTAGAGGCCTGGGACGCTGTTAAACTTCTCACAATGTACAGGACAGTTCTCACAATAAGGAATTGTCCATCCAAAATGTCAATAGTGGGCCGGCCCATGGCTCTCTAAAGGGACATTTGGCAACCTCTGGAGACATTTTTGATTGTTGCAACTTGGGAGTGAGGATTGCTACTGTCATCTAGTGCGTAAAGGCCTGGGATGCTGTTAAACTTCTTACAAAGTACAGGACAGTTCTCACAATAAAGAATTGTCCATCCAAAATGTCAATAGTGCAGGGTTGGGAACACCAAGTCAAGGGTTAAGATCCCCTTACCGGTCATCTTTTTAAAAAAAAAAAAATGTCAATAGTGCAGGGTTGGGGATCCCTGATCTAGGTTAATTTACTTCCCCTCGGTTTTCCATTCTCTAAAATGGGGTGTCCATCCGCTATCAGATCCTGAGTATCAATCTTTTTTGAACAATTTGGAGACATCCTCCCCACCCCCAACCCAGTCCCACACAAGCTTTGGGGAATTCCCTGATTTGTTGGCCCTGAGACCCTGCCCCAAAATGTTCACATGGCCATCTGGCTTTTTGGAAACACTGAATAAAATGTGGTGTCCGAAGGAGGCTCTCCCACACTCTGTTACAGAGGAAGTAGAGTGTTCATCCCTGCTGCAGCTCACTTTTCTGGAGTACCTTCCCTGTACCAGGCCCTCTGCCTGGTGCTTTTGCAGAAGTTATCTCATTTGATCTCCCCAAATTCCCCTGGGGAGGATATTATCACACCCAATTTACAGATGAAGTTAGCAAAGCTCAGGGAGGCAACGTGAATTGCTCACATTCTCTCTGCTACGAAATATCAGGGCTGAGATTTGAACCCAGTAAAGTGCTCTCTCTTCACTATCCTGCTGGTCATGGTAATAAAGCCAGGCAAGGAGAAACCAAGGAAGGCTTCTTGAAGGAGGTGAGCTTGGTGCTCAATTAATTTGAGGTTTCCCTTCCTGGAGGTGGGAGAGACTATAATAATTTAAGAGGAATAATTCATGTATCCAGTTGGAAATGTTAAAAGAGGCCATGGGCTTGGTGGGGGGTTGATTGCTCTTGAGGATGTGGGGAGTGACCACTTGGCTTTCCCTCGCTCAGTCCTTTCGGCAGGTGAGGCTGAATGAGATCCTGCTGGATTACTCCCGAGATGCTGCCCTTGTGGTCGTGTAAGTAGCACCTGGCTGGCGGGAGGAGAAGCCTGTCAAGGGTCTAGGCCTCTTGCATCCCAGATATCTGGCCTCCTCTCCGCTCTGCTTTTCCCCTGTTGGCTGCCTTTTCTTGCCAAACTCAGCTTGGCAAAGTGGGGTCCTCAGCTCATTCCAGAAGGAAATCAATTCCAGGTTGTCTGGGAATCACCCAGCCCCCAACTGATGTTACTGCCAAGCTCGGATCACAGAAACAGAGGCCTGCTCCAGCCCAGCTGTTCCCTCTGGACCCATGTCCAGTTCTGAGTGATCCCTGGTGGGTGTGACCCAGGGCTGAGCAAGTGGAAAGTGACAGTAGCACAGAGAGGGTCTCAGTGTGGCTCCACTCTCTCGGAGGCCAGAAGGAAGATCATGGTCAGGTCAACCCAGCCCTCTGAGTCCCCAGCTCCGGGGGAAGAGGCATTTGACAAGGCAAGTAACTGGTTTTTCTTACATTTCTTGGGTGGTCAACCACCTGGGAATTCTGCAGGGCAGCCAAGGAGCCGGCTGAACCTGTGTTTTTAATACTCTGAAGCCAGGACCAACTACACAATCTGCAGGGCCCAGGACAAAACGAAGATGAAGGGTCCCTTGCTCAAAAATTAAGAATATCAAGATGTGGTCCTCCTTTTCAAAGCAAGCTCCCTTACATTCTCATATAGGATATATGGAATTTGTTGTTTTGTTTTTTTTTAAATCTCATGGTGGTGGAAAGGAGGAAAGGACAGAGGGCAGCAGAGATCAAGAAATGATCATAGGTTGATAATTATAGATAGATGATGTGGGCATGCAACTTCAGTGTATTATTTTTCAAAGCTAATGTGTTTGAACATTTCCATAAATCTGCAAAACAGAATTTGCCTTGGATGGGTAATAAGTGCCTCATCAAGCTTGCTCTGCCCTGGAGGGAAGGCACCCAGACCTGTCCTTGGAATGTGTGTTCAGATAGAAGGTCTCTGAGGCTCTGGAGATATGGCCCATTCCCAGATTTGTCACCATCTCACCTGGACTGAAGATGCCAGGATCTAAGAACATTGGATTCATGAGAAGACATCTCAGATCAAGGAGCCCATTGAGGGTGACAAAAGCAACTCAAAGCTCATCTTTCCACCACTTCAGTTGCTCAAGTACTGGATAAGTTGTATAAATCCCACCCTGTCTCACCTGTAATATCCTCTTTCAAGAATGCGTAGCAATGTTCTTTTAGGCAGTGTATGTGCCCCTTTGAGAGGATCAAAATGGCCAATGGATTCAGACCAAAAATGGCCAATGGCTTCTAGCAGATGAATAGGACTGTGACAGTTAAAGCTTGAGGGCATACACCCTCCTAGGGATTGCTGAATGGTACAAGCCAAGCAGACAGTCTGGGACTGACCTGGGAGGCTTCTGAACCTCAGTTTTGTCTTCAGGTGCCTTTGAAGACTCAAAAGGCACCAGCCTCAGTTACTCTTCATTGACAGGACAGAGGTAAAATTTTTATTTCCACCAACTAGCATAGTTTAGTCAGCAGAAGAGCAGTTAAGCTATTAGAAACAGGATAATAGAAATGTCATGTAGATCAAAATCTAGAATGGAGCTTTTGGTAAGAACCCTGAGCTAGAGACATAAGGTTAGTTGTTATCAGCAACACACATGTTAAGACAGAGTCATTTTAAAGAATAGAAGTAGGGCCGAGCCCGTGGCGCATTCGGGAGAGTGTGGCGCTAGGAGCGCTGTCCCGCCGCGGGTTCGGGATCCCATGTGGAGACCGGTTCCCGCTCACTGGCTGAGCGCGGTGTGGGCGCAACACTGAGCGAGAGTTGCGATTCCGTTGCCGGTCCCCAGTACAGGCACGACACCGAGGGTTGCGATCCCGTTACCGGTCAGTAAAAAAAAAAAAAGACAAAAAAAGGAAAAAAGAAAAAAAAAAAAAAAGAAACAGGATAATACGGGCCGGCCCGGTGGCGCACTGGAGAGTGCGCCGCTTGGGAGTGCGGCAGCGCTCCCGCCGAGGGTTCGGATCCCATGTGGAGACCGGTTCCCGCTCACTGGCTGAGCGCGGTGTGGGCGCAACAGTGAGTGAGAGTTGCGATTCCGTTGCCGGTCCCCAGTACAGGCACGACACCGAGGGTTGCGATCCCGTTACCGGTCAGTAAAAAAAAAAAAAGACAAAAAAAGGAAAAAAAAAAAAAAAAAGAAACAGGATAATACTCAAACTGTACTCCTATACACCCAGTCAGCATTCAGGAATCGCATGCTAGTCCATTCAGGCTGCTACAATAGAATACCATAAAATGGGTGGCTTAATATAAGAAATTTATTTCTCATAGTTCTGGAGGCTGGGAAGTCCAAAATCAAAAAGCCAGGAGGTTTGGTGTGTGGCAAGGGCCCATTTCCTGGTTCAATGATGGGGCTTTTCTCTGCATCCTCACTTGGCAGAAGCAGCCAGGGATCCCTCTGGGGCCTCTTTTATAAGAGGACTCATCCCATGCATGAGGGCTCCACCCTGATGACCTAATCATCTCCCAAAGGCCCCACTTCCTAATACTATCACCCTGGGGGTTAGGATTTCCTGTGAGTTTTGGGAGGACACGAATATTCAGACTATAGCATATGGTTATGACTTACCAAGTTTTTGTCCCCCAGTCACTTCATATGTGCCAGGAAGACATTAGGACATATAGAATTCTTAAAAATTCCTAGTATCTTATGCATTGTGGCAATCATTCTTTTCAGCAGATTAGTGTAAGAGCACAGAAGCCTGACAACAGCCCATTGCCAATCCTTCCCTGGAACTCAGCATTTCCCATACCCCAGGTGCCACCAGTGCCAGTGTGCACTTTTCCTAAAGGGTGAAGTGCTCACTGCATTCATTTCTCAGATGGTGATATAATTCACAGTGCAGGCATCTGGGTTGAGCTCTTGCTTGCAACAGTTTCCTGTGTGAATTAAGGCCATCAAAAGAAAAAAAGAAAAAAAATGTCAAGATGGTGACAGCAGAGCATTAAACCAAGCAGGGGACACTTCTGAGCATAGGACCCTGTGTGACTGCACAACTGCACACCCATGAGGCTGGCTCTGCCCAAAACAATGCTTCCTGGGGCTTTAGGGAGATCATTTTTGTACAGAGAAAGTTCTCCATGTCTTTCTGGTGTAAGAACCGTGATAAGGAAAGGGTCTGGGTTTATCTCAAGCCTCTGGCCAACACCAGCAGAGAACATTCCTACTGCATGGGCTGGTCCAGGGTGTGGACTGAATCAGAGTGCAAGAGAGTAGAAATGGCTTCATCCTGGCATGGTTCCCCAAACTTTTCCTTGGGTGTGTGTGCACCTGGTGTGCACGGGTGTGCCCAACCATGGTTTCATGAGCACCACCTCTGTTCAGAGAAAAAGGTTTGCATTTGTCTCTGCTATTAGCCCACTGCATGGCCTTGGGTAAGTAACCCCATTTCTCTCTAGCCTCAGTTTCCCTAATTATAAAAAGAAGAGTTAAACTAAATTATTTCCAAGATTCTCTTTCATGCTAACATAAAGCAATTCTAAGTTTATTTGCCATTAACATTAGTCAGTCTCTCCGGCCATAAGATGAGGAATTTCATGCTAGGAGGCACCTCTCCCTCACTGTATGCCTCTCCACTCCACCTCCAAGGGAAAACCATTCCCCATCAGACTTTGTGGAATTAGCTCACACAAATACTTAGGAGTCCAGTCACCTTAGAGAATACGCCACTGCTCGGCATTACTCATACCTACCCTGGAGGCATGCCCAGTGTTTCTCAAAGTGCAGTCGGAAGGTCAGCCCTGCCAGAACCACTGAGGAATGTAGAAAATGCAAAGTCCTCAATTCCTTCCAAATCTGGGTCTGGGAACTGCCTGCATTCCCCAGAAATTCTGAGGAAGGAAAAATCCTCCCAAGCCCCACTGAAATGACAAAATCACATTATCCAGCATTTCAGAGAACATTCTTGGGCCATTTTCTAGAACCGGTTTGAGGCAGCACTTGTTTTTTTGCCACTGGCAAATCAGCAGGTTATCTGATTAACGGCCCTATGTGTGAGCCCAGCTACACCTGCACAGCTGATAAACCAGCCTTGTCAACAGCCCTACAACCTTTGGCTAGACTAACCACCCATTCCTGTTGGTCCAGGCACCTTTTTTCTATAGACTCTCTCCTCAAAGCCAAATAGTAATCATCAAAATAGTAATAATCAACATTGCATTTTATTAATTGAGCCTCTATGGTACTCAAGGCATTGGGCCTTATTAATTTTTAAAGCTCTGTTTTAACCATCCCCCTAATCTCCATTTTTTGAGATGAGGAAACAGCCTCAGAGGAGTTAAACAGCTTGCCCAGGATCTCATAGCTGGAAAGTGGGGGTTGAATCTCAAAGCCTGTGACTACAGTTCAGACTCAGGGCTATCAATTTGCATGTAGGTTAGATCCAAGGCTGCCTTTCTTTGTGGCTAAAAGATGCAATTATTAACAAAAAGTTCCTTTGTCCTGGAGCGGCTTTATTTCTAAAGATTAGTAGCTTAAGGCGTGTACACCCTGTGAGCAGGGATAGAATGTATTATTGATTGGCCTGGGGGTGAGTTTAAAGGTGCTGTCCCTTGGACAGGAGAACAGGCTCGGTTGAGGGAGGGAAGTTCATGCAGATGCTTGAAAGTCTACCACAAGAGTGATGGGTGTTCCCTACCCCAATAACACAGACATCATTCCCTTGTGGGCTTGGAAGTTTCTGAATTCAGTCCCTAAAAATAATGTAGCATTTCCCAGATGGCATTTTCAGCTTTTGGCATAACTGTTAAATCAGGAGAGTTTGGGCTGGTTGGTTAGAATATATATATATATATATATATATAATCTCAGGAGAGTTTGGTTTCAATATTCCCACATCCCTTTTCCCTGGAAAGTCACCAAACTAAGATGACAATAGCTTCATGAAATGCGTTGTTCCCACTTAGCTTCCCTAATCCTAGGGACCTTGCTTTTTAAAGGATGACAGTGGTTGTCCTGAGTAAAGCTCTGATCATGGAATTCCAAGTAGGAGGCAGCTGTTTAGGGATTTCATGACCATTCTTGGGTGTCTCAGAACAGGTAGGGGGTTACAGTGAGCAGAGGCAGCTGGGTGGGAAGATCCCAAGACTTTGGCTGAGGTCCCAGCTCTGCCACCACCAGCTTGTTCATCTCACGCTGGTAAGTAACAAGTGATGGTAGTAGCTGCTGACGTCATGCAGTGCTGACTTACTACGCGTCAAGCGTTGCACTGCACCCTGTGTGTGCTTTGTCTTCTTTACGGCTCACAAACATCCTCTGAGGGAGGTATTTGTGTTCTCACTCTAAGAGAAAACTGAGGCTCAGGGACAGTGAGGCACTTTGCCAAAGTCATGTGGCTGAGGAAGAGGCAAAGTCACCACGACTCGGCTTCTCTGACGCCAGAGCCTGTGCTCTGAAGCCCAGCATTGAAAGGCATCCTCCTTCAGTCCAGGTTCCCTCAGCTGTGACCGATCCCCAGGGCTGTTTTCAGGTTCAGATGAAATAACTGCTGTGGATTCTTTTGGGAAAACAAATAGACTGTCAAGTGAAGTCTCTTATGAGGTGCTTGTGCCCTAACTTCACGTAGCACCAGCTGGATCCGTGAGACGCTGCCTTCTCCAGGAACCAAGAGCCAGGTGGCTGTAGCCATCCTGATATATTTTTGGAATTCTTAATATGGTAGAAAAGTCACTTCCTAAAATAGCTGGGAAAACATGGCCAAACAGCATTCCCAGGGCATCTCGTTATTTGCACAGCATTGCATAATTAGGACAAGGGGCCCTCCAAAGGCAATGGTGGAGTCCTGCTCCCAGGGTCTTACGCACAGGGTAGAAGGGAGGACAAGGACACTGAGCTGAATCACGCGAATGTATCATGTTGTGGCCACAGGCAGGTGTGTGGCTGGAGAAGCAAGCCCAGCATGATGTGAGTGTCCTGATGGGGTGGGGTCTCCCACTTGACAAATCTACACCAATCCTGACTGTATTGGACTCTTCTAGGCCCAGGGGAAAGGGCATGAACAAGACTGACTGGCCTGCTCATGAGTGAACATACATTCTAGTGGGAGGAGACAGACAACAAACAAATAAATCGAAACATGCTTCTGAGATTGCGAAGGGCTGTGAAGACAATAAAATGGTGACATAAAGAGACATGGGTGGGGCCGAACCCGTGGCTCACTCAGGAGAGTGCAGCGCTGGAGCACAGCGGCGCTCCGGCCACGGGTTCGGATCCTATATAGGGATGGCCACTGCGCTCACTGGCTGAACGCCATGCGGGCGACACCAAGCCAAGGGTTGCGATCCCCTTACCGGTAAAAAAAAAAAAAAAAAGAGAGACATGAGTGGCCTGCTTTGGAGAGAGTGATTAGAGAAGGAGATGCACTTAAGCAGGGACCTGAGTGATTTGAAGGAGCCAACCAGGTGAGGGCTGGGTACTGCCTTTCAGTTGGAGAGAACATCAAGTGAAAGGCCCTGGGGCAGGAGCAAGCTGGGCACATGATGGTGTGAGTTGGGCCAAGGTGGCAGGAGACGAGGTTATGGGGGTTGGCGAGGACTGGATGACGTGGGCTTTACAGGCCACAGCTTTATTTAGAAATGCTGCATGGCTGAAGGTGCATTTTGACTAATGCTTTAAGGAAAGCAGAGGGGTCATTCTTATGGTGGGTGGGAAGGAGCTCTGAAGGGGATAATAAACAGACCTGCTGTTCAGAAAACAAACTGTGAGCTGGACTGTGTGGGGAAGGCCCCTTGGTAATTTCTCTTCTGCCGTCTCTTCCTGCCTTGCAGCACCTTGCCTGTAGGGAGGAAGGGGAAATGTCCAAGCTCGCTGTACATGGCCTGGCTGGAGACCCTGTCCCAGGACCTCAGACCTCCGGTCATCCTGATCCGAGGAAACCAGGAAAATGTGCTCACCTTTTACTGCCAGTAACTCCTGGCTTGGCCACCCCTGGCCAAAGCTGAGGGTGCGTGGGATGAATTGGAACTCGGGCCCCTCCAGTCCATGGGGACAAGACTCACGTTCTCTTGCACTTGAAGTGGTAGCATCTGGTGATCCAACTGAAGAAGATGGTAGATTTCCAAACTTGGCTGGACCCCACTTCCCTGGACACGTCCCCTGGGCCTCGTTTTTATAGGCTGGAGAAGTAGCAGATGAAGTTGCAAGGAACCTTCTCTGGAGGATCTTATTCCTTTTAAAAGTGCTCTTTTGATCTTGATGACCATTAATTAAGATTTCAGTCTTTGATTTGTATGCACATTTGAGTCAGGGTTCTGGATGTGAATCTTGACAGTTTCCACAGACCTTCCTTGGTAGTAGTTCCCAAACCATACCTCCTTCCTCCCACAGTCAGGAGAATGGAAGCCCCACCTGGAGGACCTACAGGAGCTCCCAGGAATGCAGGGCTCTCTCAGCCTGCACAATAATGCAAATAACTACCCCCACTCCCTTCACTTTCTCCTTTTTTGGTGGCTGGCCAGTACAGGGATCCAAACCCTTGACCTTGGTGTTACCAACACCAAGCTCTAACCAAGTGAACTAACAGGCCAGCCCCGCCCTTTATTTTCAATGAACCCGCGGCGGGAGCGCTGCTGCGCTCCCCGCGCC